CTTATGTTTTTTGGAGGAAAATTTTGTGGGAAAGTTAGGTGGTTATGGAAAGTTATATTCCCACAAAATTTTCCTTTTCTTCCTAACCAAACTTTTAAAAAGTTTGAATTTTTTTTTTTTTTTTCTTTTCCTTTCCTTTCTTGCTATTTCCATCTAACCAAACTAAGCCTAAGAGGTTCCTCTCATGAGAAGAGCCACAAACAACTTATTTATTTATTTTTTAACTTAGATGCATTAAATAATTTATTTAACTTTTCACACATCTCAAAAACTGTTTAATCCAATGGTTAAATAGGGGAGCTCATGGTTCTTTTCATGAGAGGGACCTCTCAGGAGCATTATTCATTTGGAGTCACATCATTTAAAACTTGATATATTCATTTATTATAAGGGAAAAAAAAAATAACAAAATTGAGACTAGTCAGTTGTCTCACACAGCTACCATGTGAGGGTCCCACGTTGTGTGAGACACCCGACTTTATGCTTCGTTTGGTAGGAAGGAAGAAAATTAGATGGAAGGGAAAGAAGAAGGGATGAATGAGAATAGATTGTATTCTTCACTCTCTTTTTGAAATTGTATGGAAGATAAGAGAATGAGATAATACCTTATTTGGTTTGTTTGGAGATGAAAAGAAGAGAAGAGAAGAGAGAGTGTTAATTATAAGGAAATAATTGTAGTTTTAAAACATTTATAATAGCCTTATGTTTTTTCCTTTGGGTCTTCCATCAATATTTGGATGGATGAAATTTGTGAAGAAATAATGATGACTCATCCATACCAAATGAAAAAAGTTTGCTTCTTCCTTTCTATCGTCCCTCTACCTCTCTTCCATCCTTCCTTCCTACCAAAGTAAAAAGGTCTAGCATGAAATCACTTCTGAAACTCCTTTACAAATCTTGGAGTATTCTAAAATCTATGACTTTGAGTTATCGTTTTCTAGCATTCAATGTGTAGTCTAAGGTGTTGTTTGACAAAACTAAAAATTAAGCACTGAAAATTTCAAGTACTGAATTTTAAGCGCTAAAATTTTAAGTGCTGAATATATTAATATGTAAACTTGTTTGATATTATATTAATTTTAAGCACTAAATTCATTAAGAATGTTTGTTAAATGCAAAAGTTGAAATCTAAATGTTGTATATATTACATTTTTGCCTCCAATAATTTACCGTGTTGTGTGTTAAGCGCTGAACAACGATATTAAACAGGCCTATATTTATGATATTATTGGGGGCAAAGCCAATTCTTAGTTATGGTCCTTCCAACAGGCCCACCAGGCCGGACCAAATGGATGTCCTTGGGCTTTCTCAGCTCAGGATTTCTCTCCTGGGGAGTGACCTGGTAATATTGTATCCAGAGAACAATACTGTCAGTCTGTCAACAAGTGGATTTTCTCTTAGAAATTGATGTAATTCTGGCAGTGAGGCTTTGAAACCCATGCACTTTCATGTGGGAATGCTCTTACTTTTTAGTTTCTAAGCCATGTAATTTGGAAAAGTTTTCAATTGATCCACAAAAATTTGAAAAACCCATATTCAACCAATCAAAATTCAACACACATTTATTCACTTGTCGAATTGTGATTGGTCGAAATCATGTAGTATCAGACCATATAAAAATTTCACAAATACGAAGGAAGAACATCCACTTATTTGGATTGGGATGTGTGGCCCATGTGGTTGCACCAACCCTTTTTTTTTTAGTTTTTCCTGTTTCTCTTTACTTTTGCCAATTTATTGAATGGAAAACAAAAAAACTATAAAAAATCGATTTTTTATACACTGCTGAACTACTAATCTCGTCTACATCAAAGACATACCTAAAAATCTCTTACCAATTCAAACTTTTACTATATCGAAGAAAAAAACACACACACACCTAAAAATCTCTTACCAATTCAAACTTTTACTATATCGAAGGAAAAAAAAAAAAAACAAAACACACACATTATGACTCGAATCTTCACTTTTCACTTTAAGAAATAGAAGAGATGCCGTAAATCAGCGGAACGAGTAATATTTTTGAGGGGAGGCAATCATTAACAAGAATTTGATAAGAAATGTTAAACCTAAATAATATAGCAGAAGATGGGTCCTTTTTATTTTGATTTTTAAAAATTTTGTAGGATCCATTGGAGAAGAAGAGACATTGGGTCTTTTTTGAAATTTGAAAATTACCTTTGGGCCAATAAATTAGAAAATGAGGGTTTTTTTTTTGAATTTTTTTAAAAGTTTTTGTTAAGGTGTTTTTTTTGAATTTTTTTGGGATTTAGTGGGGGCACCTTTAGAATTATTAAAATTTATGTAAAAAAAATAAAAATAATAGAAAATTTCAATGGAGGCAATCGCGAACTTTTTAGAGATTTAGTTAGGGCAATTTTAGAATTATTATAATTTATTTATAAAACATATATAAATTTCAAAATTTTTAATTGGGGGCAATTAGACCCAACGTGAATTCGCCTGATAAACCAATATAAAATTTTAATTTATTTTATAAGGTGAGAATTGGTGGGTAATTTATTTTGACTTGTACTACAATGGTTCTATATGTGTTTCTAGTCATTTAGTAATCATTATCATTTGAACTCCAAGCAAGTCTTCTCTTTTTATTGTGCCATGACAAGCCCTAGTGAATTAGAAGTCATGCTTCCCTTAAATTGCACCCTAAGGCTCTCCGACTTTGTTTATGATTGGAGAGAAAGATGGAGGAAAGAGGGAAAGGGTAAAGAAAAAGAAAAGAAAAACTCAAATAAATCTATACAAGAAAGGAAAATCGAATATAATAATAAAATTAATTATATTATGACAGGTTAACTGTAAGGTGCACGTTCATCCTCATATGTAGAACTTAAAATATGTTCCATCAGAAATATTATGGTCATTAAAGAGAAGAGTTCCTAATCTAATGGTCAAATCTTAGCTATGCTAATTTGTGATTAGGTGAATTATCGTAATCATTTGACCCTTCAATTGTTAACTTAACAAGATGGGTAAGATTTATTAATTTTATGGACACGGTATGGTAACATCTCAACAATCATTCTAGAACTCCACAACTATAGAACAAGTGGTCAACTCTTTGAAAACATATTTTCTCAAAGGGGTGGTTACGAAATTACAAATCACTGGAGAGCATATATTTGACAATGGTAGTATTTATATACTCTCTACATATATATATATATATATATATAAAATTTAAAATTTATTATTAAAAAAATTAAACGTATCAAATTACATTCGAAAAAAACACCCAACAAACGTAGAGGCAAAATACATAATTTATGAGCACTTTAATTTTTCCCTCTAAGACTCCGTTTGTTTGGAGGTAAAATGTTTTCTAGATAAACTTTTCAGTGTTCCTCACCAATATGAAATAGTATTTACAATTAGCTCTCTTTTTCTTCAGTGTTGTTCACCAAAAGGGAATAGTACCCCCTACACCATCTCTCTCTCTCTCATCGTTACTTTCTCTCTTTCGACGGTAAACCATACCTCCCTCTCATTCTTGTTACTTTCTCTCTCCACTCGCTCTATACCAGAACACGCTCTTGACCCAAATATGTATCTCAACCAACCCAATTTTTGTTTCTCTTTCTCCTCTCACTCTATGTGTACATATAGAGAGAAAATATTGAAGATTAGATTTTTGGATTGAGAGAACTGAAAAAGAGTGGTTATTAGAGGGACACAGGTTCAATAAGAATACATATGGTTAGATAACCCAATATAACCCAATTTACCATATGAAATGCTAAACCCAAACCCAATCCTAATCCTATCTTTAACCCTAACTACTATATCCGAGTCCAACTCATCTTTTTACTTTTAAATTCGAGCTTGCAACTCGGGTTTAGATTCATCGTTAAAACTTCGGGTTAATTCAGTTTACTCATCTAGCTAATCTTCACACCAGAAATTTAATACGATCTTGAATTAGTTTTAGATTAAATTAATCTTAAATAATAAAAAGTTTAAAGATTTTTTTTTATAGAATTTTAATAAATTACAAACAAATTCTTAGAAAATTAATTCTGGTAAATGTTAACATACAATAAGGTAAAATTTAACAAAAGAAGTTGAAAAGAAAAAAAGGTACTCATAGTTTAAATATTATATGTAATATATATATATATATATATATATATATATGAAAATAATATTAAAATTCGGACTCGGGTTAACTCGGGTTGCTAACATTTTAACCCAAACCCAACCTTAATTACATTCGAGTTTGGATTTTGTAACCCAAGTTCAATCCTAATTATAAAAATAATTGCCCAAACTCGAAAAAAATCGAACTGAACTTGATTAAGTTGAAATTGCCCAACCCAAGTTGTACCTCTATCAAAAACAAATTAAATTAGCATTATTGTGATATCCTTACGTTACCATTAGTTTGACCTTATAAATTTTTTGAATGATATCACAAGTGACATATTTTATATATGTTACATTCATAGTGAAAGTGACTAATTTGTATATACTAACATATACACAAATAAAATAATAATAATAAAAAAAATACTAACCTATAAGAATTTGTATACAACATCATAAACTATGGTCAGCAAAAATGCTTATTATAAGCGCCTATAATATAAAAATGCATGTATAATTGAAAAAATATATTTTGTTTTCCTAGAAAATTTTCAACTTAATGAATTTTTTAATTAAATCATATGATACATGTTTCTACTAGTGTAATTAAGCATTCAATAGAAACCAATGGTTAATTCCAGATCGTATCAGGAAAAAAACAAAAAAGGTTAAATTCAAGATCATCTTTGTTTTAGGTGTTGACTAACAGTCCACGTTTTTCCTGTAAGTGGGGTCTACCTGTATAAAAGATCGAATCACAACACACCACAGAAGAAAAACGCATGCATGCACGAAAAATGTGTCTCTCTCACCACATCATCCGTAATATGCATAAAAAGCAAGGGTATTATCGTAAACCCAGTTCAAACTCATCTCTTTAAATTCTCTATTTGTAATTCTCTTGTCCCAATTTCACCTGCACGCATCAAAATGCCAGTCCAAGAGAACCATATCTCAGTGACCTCACCATCGCCGCCGCCGTCTCCGGCCTCCGTATACGGCGGCGACAACAACGATGACGAGGCCTGGGTCTGGACCCAGATCAAGGCGGAGGCCCGCCGCGATGCCGAGTCCGAACCCGCACTCGCGAGTTACCTGTACTCAACGATCCTCGCTCACTCGTCTTTGGCTCGTTCTCTTTCCTTCCATCTCGGTAACAAGCTCTGCTCCTCCACTCTCCTCTCCACCCTCCTCTACGACCTCTTCCTCAACACCGTCACCTCCGACCCCTCCCTACGCGCCGCCACCGTCGCCGACCTACGCGCGGCCCGTTACCGCGACCCAGCTTGCATTTCATTCTCCCACTGCCTTCTCAACTACAAGGGCTTCTTAGCGATCCAGGCCCACCGCGTGGCCCACAAGTTATGGGCCCAGAACCGGAAGCCGATTGCGCTGGCGCTCCATTCGAGGATCTCCGACGTGTTCGCCGTCGACATCCACCCGGCGGCGCGGATCGGAAAAGGGGTGCTGCTGGACCACGCGACGGGTGTGGTGGTGGGTGAGACGGCGGTGATCGGAAACAACGTGTCGATTCTGCATCACGTGACGTTGGGTGGGACCGGGAAGGTGGTTGGGGACAGGCATCCGAAGGTGGGGGATGGGGTGTTGATCGGCGCCGGGGCGACGGTGTTGGGGAATGTGAAGATTGGGGAAGGGGCGAAGATTGGGGCGGGGTCGTTGGTTCTAATCGATGTGCCGCCGCGGACGACGGCGGTGGGGAATCCGGCGAGGTTGTTGGGTGGGAAGGAGCAGCCTAAGTTGCATGAGGACGTGCCTGGAGAGTCAATGGATCATACGTCGTTTATTTCGCAGTGGTCCGATTATGTTATCTGATAGGTTTTGGTCATCATGATCTGTGACTCGTTTTTTTTCTTCTTTTTCTGTTTTTTGTTGTGTGTAGTGAGATCAATATGAGGTGGGTTCCACATGTAACAAATGTGGGACCAATATAATGTGGTATTCGCAGTGAAATTAGTTACTAAAACAATGATCGGTTGTTTTGTGCGACACCAGTAAAATAAAGAGCAATGCCACGTTTCTGATGTTTTTTGTGAACTTTCAAACGAGGGTGTATAAATATTGAGGTGTGCATTTAACCGATAATTATGTAATAAAAATTTTGAATTAAAATTTAGAATCGATCAAAGTTTTAGAAGTGTTTTTTTTTTTGGAACAATTTACACTGTTAATTTTGATCATTTCTTATAATTTCATTTGTAGTATTTTGAACTGATTATTATTATTTCTTTTGTATGGTTAGATCACTTTGTTAGTACCATACAGATATAATTTGTGCATTATTTTCTTTGAATCTCTCCTTTTGTTTCAAAATGTTCCCTGGGCTTTAAAATGACACAATGGTAGCTAAAAAAATAAGAATTGAATCTCTCTCTTCCTAAAATGTTTATCTCAACAATGACATTCTAGTGGTAATAAAAATTGATGCAACCGCGGATTGGGTGCTCATAATCACCCTTCTTTGAAATCTAACGTCTCCTTAGTCACACTGTTAACTAGGTCAAAACTTAATAATTGAATCTATAATTGCTTAACGTGTCATTCATGCTTTAATTATAGAATTATTATGCATAAGTTATTCAACCTTTTAATACATTTACACTTCTAAATTCGTCTCCTTAGTCACACTGTTAACTAGGTCAAAACTTAATAATTGAATCTATGCTTAACGTGTCATTCATGCTTTAATTACAGAATTATTATGCATAAGTTATTCAATCTTTTAATACATTTACACTTCTAAATTTTAACACATTTACACTTCCAAATTTTAACGTATTGTTAGAGTCAAAAATTCATCGAAATATGTTTCACTTTATGTGCGAAGATTTTCCACTAAAAATACCTAAAATACGTTAATTTGTTGACCCGAATGTCACTTAAATAAATTAAGAGTCTTTTAACTTTAGTGATAATTTTCTACTTGTTCTCGAACCAGTTCCCTGTCCAATGCACCAACACATGTGGTTGGAGTCCTACACTAAAATGACACATATAAATCACTCTAACATGTAGAAACCAATTACATTCTTCTTAATAGAAAATCCAATTTTATTAACGAATCTGAACAAGCTTATAATTATGAACTATTTATATCTCCATAAATCATCCTATCAGAATTAATGGGCACTTAATTCATCCTCCTAAATTAATCAATACAAACATTCACCCAATATTTATTAAGATAAATAAAACACAATTTATTAAACTTAAATATAAAAATATAAATCAAATTTGTTTTGTATGGCACACACAATTCCAACAATATGAAACCTTGGCAGTTGGCATTTAGGTTGGATCCATAATTTTTGCATAATTTTTGAAATTGGGACACAGCAACTTGATATGACGGGTCGGTCAAAATTTGGTCTCTAATGCTGACACCATTTACTTTGATGCAGCCTTCCAAGACTTAGAGATTATGAATGGGACAACACATGGGTGGATTATCCAGCTCTTGCAAGAAACGTGGGACATCCAAAGAAGTCTTGCGCACTCTCGTACGCTATTATTTAAATTCTTTTAAGAGTAATAATAGGGATCGGAAAGGAATCACAAAGGAATCATTTACTTCGAATTTGATGTAGTTGATTATTTTTATTCGGTATTAAATAATTATTTTTTAAGTAGATGAAGTGAATAAAAATACGTCAAATTTAATATTTATTCGGGGTTAATTCATCGATCTCCCTATCATTATTTTTCCTTTAAATATTATCCACTTTGAATGCTCTTGTTTTTGGTATTTATGGTTTTGATTAAGAATGTCACACTCTTTTAGGTGTGATTGTTCATGGCAGCTTAGTATCCATGTAGATACTGTCAACCCCTTGGATGAAAATCAACCACCTTACCGAAAGTCATATCCGAGCATCTCATGTAAAATTTGCACAATGTAACAGAAGTTTGGAAATCATAAAAGGCTCTGGAAACTCAAAGCGAACATTAACGGGAACTTACAAAAAAAAAAAAAAAATGGTCTCTCTAAATATATATATATTTTTTGAATTCTTTACTCTCATAATATGTTTTTGCAAGTTTTCTAAATGAATGAAAGAAAATTTTCTCTCATTTGTTGGCGGTAATAAGTACTACATACACGTTTGTGTGTGTATATATTTGTACTCTAAATTCACCCATTTTTTATTTTTTTTGATCATCCTGGCAAACGTACAAAAAGAAGCAAGCAACACAAAATCAACTTGGATAATCCTGAGCGGCTAGAAGTTGAGCGTCAAGAGAAATATAGACAAGAGCAATATCCTTTAAAAGATGACTCACGGAGACAATGGCCAAAAGATAGCCTTACAAAGGTATAAAGCTCAGTCAAAGTCGCATTCGAAGCTAGAAATGGACTAAAAATCACTACCTCCAAGATAGTACCTGATGAGTCTCGAAAAACAGCTCCATCTCCCCCTACTTGGAAAGATTAAGAAAATGAGGTATTCACATTACATTTAACAATATCTGGAGGCGAAGGTATCAACGTCATTCCGCCACCTTGACAATTGCGACTATGATAAAAAGAAAAGACTCCTTAAACTCCCAGAAAAATGACCCTTACAACCCAACCACCCGGCAAGCATCCCAAAACTCTCCCGAAAAAAAAAAACGAATTTGTTGCGAACCTTCCAAATAAACCAATAACAGTAAACAACAAACCCCAGCACAACGGACCCCCCTCCTTCGATCCCTATCGGCGAAACAAACTCAACCCCCAATCTCTAATGGCAGACTGACTATCCTTAGTAAATTCATCCAAATGGGATACTCCTGTTGAGAGATATCTGAGTCAAAGATACTTATTAAAAAAAACAGAAAGAAGAAGAGGAATCTGAGTCAAAGATAGAAACTTAGAAAATAAAATTTACATAAAAAATTGAATATATTGTATAGAGACATATAGTGCAATCATCTATTTCACTCAGAAGAATAAATACAGGTAAATTATTTTGATATAATTGATTTTTTTATTATTTCAAAAGTATTAATTTCCCCATTCACCTACAAGACGTGAAATTAGTTTTTTTTATTAAATGTATAATTCTAGTTTTTTTGGTAAGAAATCATTTATTATACTACAGTATTTTGGAAAGATTTGGCCTACAAATTAACTCAGCACAAAAAGGACCTACTTCTTTGGTCTAAGCCACACACATTGCTTCTGCTATGAAAAAAGAAAAGGAAGACTTTGACTACCAGTCGCTCTCAATTATAACATTAGAGAAGGAAGAGAACTCAAAGCTGAGTCTTGCATCTTCATCAATTTATACTTTGTAAAGATCTAAGTTTGTGTCCAAGCTAAGACTCTTTACTCACAATCAGGTTGGGATCTATCTTCTTTCCAATTAATTTTCCTTTTGTAAAATTTCTTTAGCTTTCTTAAATCTGATTTTTGTGAAGTGTGTGTATATATATATATATATATATATTTGGTTAGTCTTTATGTATTTCTGCAATTATTTATTCTGTAATAACTAGTAGTTGGGATACACAATTCCTACCACAATACATGTGAATTATTGATAAGGGTATTTTCTTTATTTGGTTAGTGGAAATCAAAATTATTAGGCAATATATATTTTTCTTGTGTAAATAAGTTGGTTTAGGAAAATATTATTAGTTTTACAAAAATTTAGTCAATCCACCATATTAATCATAAGATGGGGTTAGTGTGAGTAAATTGTTTAGGATATCTTTTTCATTAATTGATTGCTTTGAAGATAATTAAAGGCGATTTTATTTATTTATTTATTATTTTGATCCGCATTTTCTTGTCAAAAGTTGGAATTTCTCCGTTCATCTACATGACATGAATTTATGTGTATTAAATATTTATTAATTTTTAGTAAGCAGCTAGAAATTTGTAAACTAGACTTTACTTCTTCTTCTAATTCTACCTACCTGAAAAAAACAATATATATTCTTGTTTGGGGCATATAAATAAAATATGAAAATTATTAGGCAGTATATAAATATGTTTATTTAGGAAAATATTATTACTTATACAAAATTGATGATGATTAATGATAGATGGGGTTAGCGTGACTAGGATATATTTTTTAGGGTAATTTATACATATTTCCTCTATGATTTGTCATGATTATAGGGATCTCCCTCTGGCTTGATAATTTACTCGAACCTGTCATACATGGACCTCTTTTCTCTTAGAGTCAACGTAAGTCAACGACTTTCTCTTAGAGTCAACGTAAGTCAACGACAGAATTTGCTGACGTAATAATTTAATTTTGTGTCCAATAATTTCACTAATGGTAAGATAGTTACTATTTTTCATTAATTAAAGGTAAAAGAGCAAAAAATACTTTTAAACTATACCATTGTTGCTTAATGTCTCTTGAATTAATTTTTGGAGAAACTCAGCCCTTTAACTATAAACATTGCATATTGCTCCCTTGGCAACATTTTCTGCTACTGGAAGTTAATTTCCTACCAACAGAGACACACAATTACTAATTTACCCCTTACTTAGGAATTTATTATAAAAAATATAAAATATTATGAGTGTTAAATTCTGATAATGCCCTCAAATTTAGAGTACAAGTATAGTGTGTATATATTTGTACTCTAAATTCATCCAAATGGGATACTCCTGTTAAGAGAAATCTGAGTCAAAGATACTTAAAAAAAAATTAGGAATCTGAGTCAAAGATAGAAACTTAGAAAATAAAATTTACATAAAAAATTGAATATATTGTATAGACATATTCCGCAGACTGCAATCATCTATTTCACTTACTAATTCATTTTGTTCCACAATTTTTCTCCTCTCTTAAGAGGAACACACACAATATATATGTAAGATAGAAAATATCTGTGTATATGTATTGTAAGGCTTCAGCCTTTCTATCTATTTTATACAAAACGCAGCTCTAGTCCAAGTGATTTATTAGAAGTCGACCGGTCATTGATCATGAATGGTTCCAATAAAACCTCAAACTATAGTCAACTATGGCGTGCTGGACTTCGTTTCACATATGAATCTGTCGGTGATCAGTAGGAGTGAC